TGTCTGATAGCCAACTTCTCGAGAGCAACTCCCTGCGTCTGCTCGGTCTCACGATGACTGCTGACCTGAGATGGAACAAATACATTGAGTCAATTGCTTCGTCTACCGCGAGGAAAATTTGCTCTCTGTGCCGGGCCTGGAATTTTTTTTCCCCGGAATCGATACTTCAAATATACAAATCAACCATTCGCCCTTGCATGGAGTATTGCTGCCATATATGGTCTGGGGCACCTTCTGTTTGCTTCGGAGTTCTTGACAAGATCCAGAGACAGATATGTAATATAATTGGCCTTGATCTGGCGTCTCGTTTACAGTCACTCTCTCACAGACGCGCCATCACCTCTCTCTGTCTTTTCTACAAATACTTTCATGGTAATTGCTCCGATGAGCTGCTTTCACTGGTTCCCAGACTCCATGAATTCAAGCGCCCTACGAGGCTGGCATCCCGCTCCCACCCTTGTAGAAACTTTTAAATGTAGCCGTCTCTTCTACTCCAATAGCTTCATACCTCGCACCTCTCGCCTGTGGAACACACTTCTCAATTACTGTTTCCCTGAGAGCTATAATCTCCAACTATTCAAATGTAATGTCAATCGACATCTCCAGTTATCTTGATCTATCCACTATCTTTCTCCTCATCCTTTCTTCTATCACTCCTATCTGCTCTTGCTCCAAATCTTCTGCACCCTAGTGGCTTCAGGCCTTGCTCGGGGCTTAAAAAAAAATTGATCAAGAAGACATGATTATAGTAGAATTACTAACAATATATCTCATACTAAAATGACCAAAAATACAATGTAAATGTTGTTGAAGGCATACAATTGCATTTAAAATATTTAGATTTTGGCATTAAATAACCTATAGATGTTGATAAGCCGCTAAACAAAATCAACCAACAAACCTTTTTACTCTGTTGATTGTTTGTTTTTTGTTCACACTAAACTAATCTTATATGTGTACTTATTTCTTTTCTTTTTTTTTGTTTTTTTTTCTAGTTTTACTCCTTCGGGCTTTAATAAACCTGCTTATAAACAGGATTTCATCACCAGTGTCTTAAATGCCGTGAGGCGTTTATGTGGCTGTCTTGAGATATGCACGCGTGCGAGACGAACGCATACTTGGGAGGCAGAACAAAACGATTAACCGAATCTCCTCTACACAAAAACAGCGGTATTCTTTTTTTTTTTTTCTCGTATACAACGAAAGGATACTGAGGGTAAAGATTCTACCCAGCTGCCCCCACTTACAGAAAGAAAAAAAAATTACTGCTGAAAGTTTGAGAGCAGGGGTGGGAAAAAATCATGTAGGGCACTTTTGATGCTGCTTTGTCTTTGTAGGTAATGCTACGTTGAAAATGGCAAAATCGTCTGCATCGTTTTTATTTGATGTCCAATGCTGGAGTTTTAGCAAGCTACGCTACATAGCTACACTTAGTGAATTACTTGACATCAAATGTCACAAGTTATAGTTCAACAGCACTCATGTAGAAGGTCAAAGTGAAGAAAGTAGACTTGAAGGTCGATAGTACCAGAGCTATTAGTCGGATTTTTTTTTTATATTACGAATTGTGAAATATTAATCAATTTTAATCGTCTTTCATTGGCCTTCACGCTATTGATTCTTTACTAGTGTTAAGTGTGAATATCTCAAATGAAGCCTTGTCATTAGTATTAATATTTGACTAGTCTTTCTATAATCTGATTTCTCTTGCTTCTTTACACCTAGTAAGAGACATTGTAGTAATACTTTTAAGTACCCTAAACTTTAGATAAAGAATTGTCATTATTATTAATTTTTGCCTAGTCTTTCTTTCATCTTCTCTTGCTTCTTTACACCCAGTAGTAGTAGTAACAGTAGTAGAGTTATGTGAGTTTCTTATATGAAGCCTTATCATTAATTTTGACTAGTAGTAGTAGTAGTAGTAATGTTGTGTGAATTTCTTAGATGACGCCTTATTATTATTAATTTTTGACAAGAAGTATTAGTAGTAGTAGTATTAATGTTGTGTGAATTTCTTAGATGAAGCCTTATCATTATTATTAATTTTTGACAAGCAGTATTAGTAGTAGTAGTATTAATGTTGTGTGAATTTCTTATATGAAGGCTTATCCTTATCATTAATCTTGACTACTAGTAGTAGTAGTAGTAGTAGTATTAATGTTGTGTGAATTTCTTAGATGAAGCTTTATCCTTATCATTAATTTTTGACTACTAGTAGTAGTAGTAATGTTGTGTAAATTGCTTAAATGAAGCCTTAGCATTATTATTAATTATTTTTGACTGGTCTTTCTTTCATCATATTTCTCTTGCTTTTTTACATCTAGTAGTAGTGGTAGTATTAATATTGTGTGAATTTCTTTGATGAAGCCTTGCTTTTATTATTCATTTTTGATTAGTTTTTCTTTCATATTATTTCTCTCACTACTTTACTTACTACTACTATTAGTAGTAGTGTTAAATTATTTGGATTTCTTATATGAAGCATTTTCATTATTAAATT